ACTTTTGTCTGTTTATTAACTCTAATATTTCGTCAAGATCTTTTTTCAGATCTACTAAACACATTATATCTATCGTATTATTCGTGAAGAATTTGTATGCTTATTAATAATCTCTTTTATAATGTATTACTGTTTAATTAAGTTTAGTATCATGTCCTTAATACCCCTTTAAATCTTTTATCATGTTATTGAAATGGTTTTTTTGCATTTGAAGATGTACTGCGCCTATCAGTAGATATTATTTTTATTTATTTGTTCTTTTGGACCTGTTTGGATTAGGTTTTATAATATTACACTAATAATTGCTGATAATTGTTCCCTAACATATTTACTAAAAAACTTTAAAATACGACCCTAGAGTATCCAAGAAAATTTTTAACCGCTTCCTTTCAAGAAATATTTAATGTTGGAATCAACATGTGTCCAATCGAGGACAAGATCAATTTAGTGAAGCAACACAACTTTAGTGTAAACGGCTTTGATTAGTACTTTAAGTATTCTATTCTTGATACAGCAGAACATAACAGATTATTGGTCTCAAATAAATATAAAAGAATTATTTTAGTGATAAAGATGTTTTATTCCAAACCCGAAATAAAGCAATAAAAGACTAGTTATCAAAGTAGATGTAAGAACATACAAGGATGTAAAGATACATGTTTGTACTTGATAATGAAAAGAAATAAGACTAACGAACATAAGTAACCTACAAACAGTATAACTGGAAAAAAAACAACGAAATACGAATTGCAGCAAGGGAATTGGAATTTATGCAAAAATGTAAGTTCAAAATGATGATTCCAATATATCATTATTTGGATATATTAGTTACAAAGTATCACAACAAGTTTATGCAAGATTGGAAAGATAAAGGATGGACACGATTAGTACACTACAGAGAATTTTCTATGGTGGTCAGTTACAAACAACTAAGTTAAAAGATATATACATTTAACTTATAAAATTGACTAATTTATATTTCAATTGATATTAATTTTTACTTTTCCAGGAAAAAATAGTTAAAAACAAAAAAATTTCATTTGTTACGTATAAAAATATATTTGACAAGTAATGTAGTAAGTAGTACGCCACAGGTTGACAATTTTATTCATATTTTCTCTTTACATCTACAGTGATTATATACAATTTTAAATTTACAAAATTTGTATATCTGCTGTATTCAATTTGTTAAAAATATTAACATGAATAAACTATTATGCAATTTTGCAATTTCTTTACAGGGTTTGAAAGGTATAGAAAAAGATAATTTTCAAAATCTTAACACAAGCTGTATATAACCTTTTTAACATATATAGAAATAATTTAATATTAAATGACATTCAAAAAGTATTTTATGTAATATTAATCTCTTCTGCCTTTAGTTGAACAAACCTGTCTCTGGCTTTTTCTCTTCAACATCTAAATTCACTTAATTTTTATAACTTTAACATTTTGTTAACTAACGTTTTCTAACTATAATTATTATTGATAAGTTACGAACTCGTTAAATGGTTTTAATTAAAAATAGCTTATATTTATATAGTTGCAGAGTTTTTATGTTTATACCCTAACAATGTTTTGTGATTTAACAATAAACGTGTTGTAAGATATTAATAAGCGACAACTTTGTTAGGGTTAAAAATATACAACGATGCACTTAATATTAACAATTTAAAATAATTTTTAATTTAATGATTAATTTTTATGCACAAATATACATATTTCTGTTTATATAAAAAGATCAATTACTTTAAACTTTTTTATAAAATCTTTATCTTTTGATAAATCATTTAAAACCGACCCAACTAAACAATAATGCTCATCATCAGATGAGGTTTTATAAATGTCGTTTGGCAAAAGCATAT